TAACATGAATAGATTCCTCAACAATAAGAGTTTTAGTGTTATACAATTTATAGCCTTTTGAGCATTCAGAGTATCCTAACATGATACACTTTTGTGCTTTAGAACCAAACTTGTTAAGATTCTCCTTAGTGTTCAACATAAAACAATTACATCCAAAAGGATGAAAATATGAAATATTGGGTTTTATGTTCTTCCACAATTCATAAGGAGTCTTACCCATAATAGCTCTCATAGAAACCTAGAATCCGACCAGATAACAATTAACTTTCAAGAGATAATTCTCCACTAGAGCAACAGACGACTAGAAATCCTGAGCTCTTTCCCCCAAGCAGAAATTAACACTCTCCACAGAATCTTCTCAAGCAAAGTTAATACTCCCCAGCGAAGTTCTTCTCAATAAAGCAGAAATCCCTAGCGGAAGCATTTTTAACAGAGTCTGAAGATACACATACTCTTCATCTCCAACAGTAATCCGAGATTTAACTTCTTAAAACTCCCCAGTATCTATCAAGGATACACTTCGACAATATGTTGCATTCATACATCATATAACATACATAACATATACATACAACATAATCTCATTTATTTTGAGAACATCATTACACCATGCATATATTCGCATACAGCTAACCCCTTGTTCCTTGCAGATAAATCATTGATCCAAAGACCTCTTCTGGATCAGAAATAATTCTTTCAGTTAAAGACAGGCAAGACATTTAGTTTTCAGCATGAATCGACCAAAGATTTATGTTGATGTTTCTTTCAGTTTCTACCATCATCTCTCCAAATGGCATCTATAAGCCCATTCCCGAATCAATACGCCATCAAGTATAAATTTCTGGGCACTTTAGTGTTCAATCATCTTTCACCTTCAAATCACGAATGGCGGATCCTCCAATCTAATTCTTTAGGTTTAAGAAGATTGAACAATAGCAGTTGTTGTACCCCAAAATTTGCCCTCTCATTTCTCACAAGATTTTCAACTGCTCAAAATTGCACAAGGATTGATCAACTCAAGACACTTCCTCAACACTGATGACTAAAATTAGGGTTTAAGTTTGTACAAGGATAAATTGAAGAACACATAACAAAACCCTTATGCTATGTTGCATAATCTTGTGTTATAGGCCTTCTTGCTTGCAAATCTCATCATAATTTAATGCTTATAGCCACTCTTGAGCTATTACCCAAGTGTTTGAGCCATTGTCCAAAAGATCTTTCCATTTATGGCATAAAGTTACCATTGCTATTCTTGAAAAGCAATCCTTTTTTTGTCTTGAGCCCATACTTTATTTGCTTCTGATTTTGCTCCACCATAAATCATGGAAAGCAACCCCTATAAACCAGCAACTCTGGTACATCATATTGGGACCATGACGTAACTTGATATTTGCAATCCAACCTAGCCATAACTCCATAGTTTGTAAACTAAATCAGCTTGTTCACAAACCCCTTGCCTATAAATAGGAGAAGCATTTGCAAGAGAAAGAGGTCAGAAAAAATAGAGAGAAAAACCAGAAGTTTTATTGTGTAGACAAGCCCTCAAAATCTCATACTCTCAAAAAACCATAACTGTCTGCAGAGCTCCCACTCTTGAGTTTTGAAGTCCTAATCTTTGAACCCTTCATACATTACAAAGTTTTATCCAAACAATACATCTAAACACATTACATACATCACATAGGAGTTGTTCAAACACAAGAACAATTTTTGTTACATCATCACCATTTGCCAGAAGAAAAAAAAGTCACTTGCAACTTGGTTCTTCCAGCTCTAAATCAAGCATAAATTTCAATCTCAATGTAAGTCTTATTGACTTTAAACTCTTCATTTCAAGCATCATTAGTGATTCATTTTTGAAGATAAAATATAGTAACCATTACCCTTGAAGCTAACCCTTTATTTGTCTTCTATTTTTGTCAATTATATGTTAAGAACTGACTTGTATAGACATTAAGACAGTGTTAGAGTGAGAAAATTGCAGCACGAGTCGACACATACTTACATGAGTCAACTCATTTTAGTGACAGAACAGGCTATGAGTCGACACAAAGCCTCATGAGTCGACACATATTGATATACATGCACAAAACAAAGAAAAAAGGTGCACGAGTTGATACAAAACGCGTATGTGTCGACACAAACAAGGAATGAGTCGACACATACCATTATGCTTCGACTCATACTGAGTTGATTTGGTTTTACAGGGGCAAGAAATGGTTATGTGTCGATGCATAGAAGCATGTGTCGACACATAAATGTTAAAAAATGTTTTTCCTTCTTTTACACTATTTTTACATATTTTACATGCTTTCTTCATTGCTATTCAATATGATTGTAATATTTAAGCTCTTATTTCACCCTCATTTGTAAATTGTATCCCCCATCCCCCTAATGATGTAATAACGTAGGATTTTAATTTCCGCAAATTTATTGTTTTCATATAATTGTTAGTAATTAGGGTGTGTATGACAAGATAAAACCAATGCTTAGAAAACCCTAATCTCAAAGACAAAAATGTATGCAATCAAACACACTTTTCACAAAAGCACCTATAGGGTAACCTTGCTCGTTACTTCGAAAAATAGTCATGTTCTTCGAATATAGACGCTTTAGCAAAGACCCTCGATAAAAAAGATCGTAGTCCCTCGATGACGCTTCAATGTTGCCTTCGATAAAATGATCTTAGTCCCTATAAAAATTGCTAAAGCGTCTCATAAGTTGCTTTCAATGACTATACGACAAACCACTCCCGTCCCTTCATATCCAAAGATAAGGCTTCTTACCAATCAAATGGTAAGATAACAATATCAAAGGAGGAGGAAAAGAACTAAAGACTTTTTGAGTAGGTAGAACGTTCTTAGTTGCTTGCTCATAATCCATCTTCAAAACAAACACACCATAAACTTTCAAAACATGAAATGTTTTCAAAAAGTCAAAGACTTTGTATACATTCTTATAGAGACGAGAATCATTACAAAATTTGCCTAAACGAAGGCACTTTTCCAAAATATTTTCAAAACCCACCACAAACACATTTCAAACAAAGCAATTTCAAAAGTGATCTAGCAAGCAACTAAGAGCCCATAAATAATTATGGATGAAAAATGTGCTAACACCTTTCCTTTTCATAACCTACCCACCGAACTCAAGAAAATGTCTCAAAGGTCTTTCCTGTTCTTTTCACCCTTTCTTTATTGGATAAAAGAAAAATCGATGATGACTTTTGCTATCCACAACAATTGCGATCAAACGCAAAACAACCAAGTCAGTTATTCCACCGTATTACAAGTATGTTATAGTGTAAATTAAATTTGATTGAAAGGGTAAAGTAGGGTGAGCTTAGACATCTTCAAATATTAGCTAGGTAGTTGAAATGACATGAAAGCCATTTAATATAAAATCGTTCTTATTTTAAATTAAAATAAATTATAAAGTATAATTGTGGGTTTTAGTTAACATAATAAGGACAAAAATGAAAGAAAAATGATAAGCTATAAGTTATAAGATAAAACACTATTTGAAATAGGGTATGGAAAATAAGCTATAAGCTCGTTAAATAAGCTATAAGTTCGTGATGAAAATACTGTTATCAAACAAGTTTTTTATTGTCATATGAGCTTATAAGCTATAAACTTAAAAAATATCTTACCAAACAAAGCCATAATAACCTTAAATGCTTAGAATATTTGAATGAAACTCTCATGCATAAAATTTCATTGTTAAAGTTGTAGAACACTTGAAATGAATTTGAATTGTATGGAATTATATGTAGAAAAGAGGTAATTTGAAAAACTAATGTATTTTGTCTTAAATACATTATAAGAAATCTTTTGGATTGGATGCAAATGAATGGATAAGTTTCATGAAGAATTAAATTTCATCTAATACATAATAATTTAGAATTTTTAAAAATTCGTAGAGTGTAATTGATTACCACCTTAAAAATGATCCAAAATTATGGTAGAATATATATATAATCGATTACACAATTTTATTGGCAATTCTAAAAATATCATTATGACAGTTTTAAATGCTATAATTTATTAAAAAGAACATTTTGGATATTTTTTAAAAGATTTGGCGTGAACTGTCTTTATAAACTTTATAAACTAACTATATATTTATTTAAAAATACGTACAATTCACCAACGAAATCCAATCTAAACTTAAAAAAATGAAGAGTGCTAAATGACACTAGTATGCTACACCGTATCTTATTATAAGAGTGTATTCAATCAAAGACACATTTTTCAAAATATAAATAAAATATTAAAAATTATAAAATACAGTATGTTATACTACATAATGTCATTATTTAGTGTCAAATCAGCATTTCACTAAAAAAAAAAAATGAAAGAGTTTCAACCTTTGGAATCAAGACAATGAAAATGCAATTAACCATTTTTAAGAAGCCTACTACTATCATGAATCTATCATATTATTATGAACTCACAAAGAAATCTCATAAAATCCTCCTTAATCACCTCTAAAAAAAACTTAAATAAACTTGAAATTCAAATCAACTCAATTCAACCTAGACTCTTATAAATATGAGAATCTACATGTGAGATCTTCCACAAGTATATAAAAATCTCGTAACAAGACAAGACTTTATGTGTTAGTAGTAATAGTGTATATTCACTTTATTTGTTAGTTAGTATATTACTACTATTATTTGGCAATGAGAGGGTTATCTTAGTTTAATTGAGTCTGTTAGGGAAGGTGGGGTCAATAACTACACTACCTTACTAACATTACCTGCTATATATCTCCCACATCCTCCCTCTTTGTTTTTGTCGGCACGTAATCCACTAATTCTATTTTTGCCAGCGTGGCACCTCTTCCACGCGCCACGCAAACCCACTTCACCAAACGTCACGCACCCCATTTTTATCCTCGTAATCAACCTCGTCCAGAACGGTCCTCATTCTTTCAAACGCGCTTCCGCGCGTCATCTTTATCTCAACACCCCAGGGCTTAAGAGTCATTTCCAAATGCTTTGGAATAAAGCTAAAAAAGAAACAGTAATAAAGGAAACACTTTGTTTTGAAGTAACTGCGCTGGGATCCCCAAGAACAACCATCTTTTAATCACAACCACTCCCTGTCTTTCTCACGTGTCAACAAGTGTGGCACAAGCATCTCATATCCACCCTTCGATCGTCTCAACGTCATCAAGTTGTTGAATCCTACGGTTAAAAACAAAGGTCGTAAATTCCATCGCGTATCCTCATCACACACCATGATTCCTCTGAAAATTATCCATGCTTTTCCGTTTCAAAATTTCATTTATTTATTTATTTTTCAATTTTCAATACTCCAGCTAGCACAGTCATAGAGATCAACAAACAAAGCAACCACAAAATTTATGCAGCTTTAGATCAACAATCTCTCGGTGTCTCTCCCCTATGGTGCACTCTTCTCTCTAGACTTTTTTTTCTCTCTTCTTAGTCTGAAGGAAAAAAAAACAAATGAAGAAAAAAAGTGATTAGTATTTAAGTTTGTAAACTGATTATTTGGTTTTGGTTCACAGGAATGGTAGATTTGAGTTGAAGAGTTTCCACATTGGTAAGGTAATTGTTAGATCTAGCCTCAAATAAGCTATTTAGCACCAATTCAAAATCACTTATTCATGAATTAAGCAGTGTTATGTGATTTACAGTTCTTGCTCGCAGTAGATCTCCTGGTTTCTAGGGTTTCTTTTTTTGATAACTGTGCGTTTCAACACGAACAAGTGTTTTAGATTTCTAATAGACTTTTATATTGCATTCTTAAGTGTGATTTGTTTAGATTTGTTAGTTTTTCAAGGAGATAAGAGACGTATAGGGTTAATTTGTACTGTGATTTGTTTATTAATATTTTGATTACTGTATGGTATTGTCGGTGGTGGCTTATGGCGGAGATTGCAAGAAAAGTCAAAGATTGGTGGTGGTTAAAAAGGAATTATGGTGTTTTATGGGGATTTATTACTGCACACAAGAGAAAAGATGCTATTGATTGTTCATGATGTCTATGTTACTGTTTAGTATAGTAATTGTTTGATCATTATTATTTCTATATAATTATTTCTATATTATTTGGCTGATCTGTTTGGGTTGCATGTTACCATATAATTACATGATCTTAGTAGTAGTGAAATAATAACAGTAATAATTTTATAATAATTTTAATAATAATTTTTTATTAATTACATTAATTATTATGATTCATAACGTATTCATTTAGAAAATTTACTTTCTTATTTTTTAAATTGAGAACAAAACTCTTCTCTGAGAGCAACAATACCCTTATTTTCTTTGCACAATTCAATCAAATGAGATGTCATTATCAGATGCACTTTGTTAAATAAATCGCACATATTCTCCAACATATTTTTTTTTGTACTTATATTATCATGGTATAGCTAAATATTATTAAATTTAACGAGATCTCCTTTCTAGATTTCCTAAAAGCATGTTTTTTCCTCTTAAAATCGTAGCATTTTGTTTTTTTGAATGCTTTAGCTAACCAAGCAATGGAGGGCGTGCTAGTTCCAAGATGCAGCTCACTTTTAATGCACTAACTATAGTTGACTGAATTTGTGGGTCTAATTCAGCAAGAATCATGTGTGATTAAGAATAATTTGTAGTTTTGTGTGTATTATTAATTTTTTCCTATGTAGAAATATAAAATAATAATAATCATGGATCTATATAGAGATTGATATCGCCTTTTTCTGATACAGATCTTGATCTCACAATGGGTAAATCACCAGGAAAATGGATCAAAACTGTTTTGTTTGGGAAGAAGTCATCCAAATCAAATATACCAAGAGGAAGAGAGGTAATACTAAAGCTATCAAACTACATTCGCATTTCATGAATGCATTCCCAAATATTCTTTGAAATTACATTATTGGTGACATGGCATGAATATTGAAGTCTTTGCAGCATTCTCTCAACTAAAACTAATAGTGTGTTTGGTTTAGCGTTTACTCACTCTCACCGCATGTTTGAAGACCATATAGCCCCGAAAACTAGAAGCTATAAAACTAAGCTTCTGCGGTACCGTAATTTTTCGCCGTGCTTTTTGTTATACTGCAGCTATACCAAACATGCTATAAAGTACTTTGATATGACCTGTAATGAAAATTCTGACTTATTTTACTATAACATGATTTAGAAGCTTGTTAATAAAAAAGAAGGAGTTGTTACTTCCAAGGTTTCAGAAACTGGTTTGGCTTTGGAGCCAACCACCGATACCATTACCATTCCCAGACACGAGGAAGAGCTGGAGCTGGAGAGTAGAGAAGCAGAAAATGTTTTGCCTGATAATCAAGAAATTGACACAGTGGGACCTGTTCATCAAGATGCACCACTTGATCCAGAAATATTGAGGCGGGAGGAAGCAGTTACGAAAGCACAGGCTGCTTTCAGGGGTTATTTGGTATGTGTTGACAATTGTGATAGTTACTTTTCTGATTAAACTGTAAGTGCCATTTAGTCTGAAAATTAAGAATTTTGAACTATATGTATTTCAAAGTACACTTTGATTGTAAATTCAATTATGATAACATCTGGCTTGAAGGCTTTGCTGGATCGAGAGATGAAGTTTAGAAGATTTAATGTTTACTTAAGTCTAGTGCACAACCTTTAGGTTTAGTGGGGCATTAAGTTATAATCCATAACTTTTTATAATTTGTCTTTCCTTCCTCCTTAATTTCACTTTTGCTTATAAATATGTGATCTTAATTTATGAAGTTGATTTTGGACTCTTGACATATTTAGTTGTGAAGAGCAGCTGTCAAGCAATGGAAAAACTGCCTTAATTCTAAATAGAAGAGCTAATTATTTCTTTCATGTTAAAATTAATTATCAAATGCTTTCTTGATGGAGATCAACACACTCGATTCCCTCTGATATGTCACTCAAGACAGAAAACCATACTTCAATAAGTTTGCTGATGTCTTGAATTCTTGCTCTTTCCGTCTCATAAATTGTTTACTCCCAAAGATGTCTGTAAGAGAGATGATAAATTAACCAGTTTTTAACTTATCGTCAGTGCACTATCATTTTGAGGGATTGATTGTGTGAGTTCTTGTAAGTTGTAATATTTGATGTTATGCTTCAACTAATGGAAGTGTCTTTAATGAAGGCTCGGAGAGCATTCAGAGCCCTTAAAGGCATAATAAGGTTACAAGCACTTATTCGTGGGCACTTGGTTAGAAGACAAGCTGTTGTTACATTATGCTGTATGTATGGAATTGTCAAATTACAAGGACTTGTTCAGGGACAAAGAGTTAGACAGTCTGATGTTGGATTTGAAATTCATGAGAAGTGCAATCTATTAAAGCTTCAGGTTATTTTTTCATATCTGACTTCTCTGTACATTATCATTTATTTGTCATGCTCTTTATATTAGTTAAGTTCTTCTTATTAGTCCATAGGCGTGTTTAGAATAATACAAAATTCAATTTATAATTTACCTGATTTTCTTGCTCAATTTGAAATTAGAGCTAAATGGTTATATTTAAGATGACAATTCTTGCCAAGCTTCCAGAACATTCAAAATGAGGACTAAATGTGCAAATAAAGGGGCAACTTGGTGCTTTAAAGCTCCTGATCCCTGCTGTGAAAATAAATGAGTTTATTCTAAACTATTTGCTACAACTAGAATCATGGACATCTCTTGTCAAGCAATCAATTTTAGTCTTATTAAAAGCAGGTGCCTTACACAATCCATTGCAGATTGTTTCCGAAGCATTTTGAGACCACTTATTATTAATGAAGAGTAAAGTCTCAATCATCAAACAATCTCTGAAATTTCTAATGAGTTTCTCTTGGTTATTGGGTAGTGTACTTTAAGTATTGTTAGACTTTGACCACTTCAAAGTGGATCCCAATCAAGCGATGTGAAAGAGAGGTGGAGACTGCATACAATATTTGTTAACCGCTGTTACTGCTAATGATTTTCTTTCTTAATGTGTTTTTCCTTAGGATGACAAACCTGTCAAGCCAATTGCTATATCTGATAAAATTCTGAAGCTGTCAGCCAATAATTTCATCCGAAAGGTAACTTATATTACACCTTATATGTGTGACCACTTGACGTGTTCATTTTTTAGTGTGATCCATTTTATTCTTAGAAATGTCAAATGGACTCTTAAAGCCATAGAACAAGGTGGTTGGCTTTAAAAGTGATTATTTATGACCCACCATTGTATTCTCCCTAAACCCTTTGTATGCCATTTATAACAGTTTTTTTTATGTGACCTACCATTTATAGCAATTTTGTTTTATGTGACCTACCTTTGTTTGAAATAATAGGAATATAGGAATGCCTGTATCAGGCTGGGGTACATAGTTTTTGTTAGGGACTGAGTTTGTTGGCTTATATTTGACCTATTTGTTGGCTTATATTTGACCCATTTGTTAGCTTAAGGCCCAAACCTAGTCCCTAACAGTTATCAAGTTGCACATTGTTTCCTAGTATATTTTTTAGGTTTGTAATTGTTAGGTATGCCCAAAACAAGTAATAATACAGTATGCCCAAAACAATTATTGTTACCAAAGCACGTGTGTTTGTAGTCCTTAATGCATGTGCAATAAATGATTAGTTTTGTAGTTAAAGGTTTTGAGACATAACTGGCCTTAGCTTGCGTGTAAAAGCTGGAGAAAATCATATCACACAATATAGTCATTGCACTTGCACATATTGTAAAAGACTAGATTAATCTGTTTTAAATGGGTTTTTGTCCATTATCTGGTCGTGTCATAACACATCATATTTTAGTTTGGTTAAATGTGAGATCCTGTAAAGAGAGTCTTTGAAGTGAGGAAGTAAGGCACCTTTTCTTGCTCACCCTGAAGCTGTTTTTTCTGTTACATTTGTATTGCTTCATGTTTGCTCCAATTATATGGAGCACATACTTCTATTACAATCTGTCTTTTGATCTATTTGTTGTTTCAGCTTATTGCTTCCTCTACTACAATAATGGCCCTGCGTTTGCAATATGTCCGCGGTGATCCAAATTCAGTCCTAAGTTGGTTGGAGCGCTGGTCAGCATCTCGGTTTTGGAGGCCAATTCCCCAACCCAAGAAAATCCGGGATACTAAGTCTCAGAAAAAGCAGGGTAATATTGCAACTGGAGATGCTCAAACAAGCAAGTCAAAACGTACCCACAGGAAGCTTTCTACTGCAAATTTTGACCTAGCCCCAGCACAAGCAAATCCTGAATTTGAAAAACCAAAACGAAATGTAAGGAAATTTCCAAGCCAACCCTCTGATCCTGTGCTGGAAAATCCCCAAATTGAGCTTGAGAAGATTAAGCGAAACTTGAGAAAGGTTCATAACCCAGTTGTTGAGACTTCAGTTCTGTCAGAAGTTGAATCTGAGACTCAGAAGCCACATCTGGAAAAAGAAACAGTTGCCTCAAGTGTCGGTGTTTCAGAACAAGCAGTCATCAGTTCTAATGAAAGAATCAAGAAGGAAGCAATGAAAATCATTTCCAGTGAGCTGGATATTGGAATTACTGCTGGAGGTTTAGTTAGTAAGGTGTTTGACACTCCAAGCAGTTATCAGGTGAATGTGGAATCAAAGCCCTTGACAGATATTACCAGTAAAGATGAGAACATTTCTGATGATGAAATGAAAAATGAGTCCATAGATTTAGTTGAGACTAGCAAAGATGAAAATTCTCACTTAACCAATGGAGGTTTGAGTCACAAGGAAGATCAAACAGGTAGTGAAAATCAGAAACCAATCCGAAAAGCCTCAATTGTAGCTAAGCAGGAACGTGTCGAGAACGGTGCACATAATAGCCCGACAGTACCTAGTTATATGGCAGCAACTGAATCTGCCAAAGCAAAATTACGGGCTCAAGGATCCCCGAAAATTGGACAAGATGGAAGTGAGAAAAACAACAATCCTCGGCGACATTCTCTGCCATCTTTAACTAACAGCAAAATCAGTTCTCATTCACCTAGGACACAGAGGCCAGTTCATTCAGGTGGTAAAGGGGCCCACAAAAGTGACAAAGCTGTATCTTCTGTGGTTGGAAACGGTAAGGCATAGTGTTCCTATATATAGCAGTTTAGAAAATTCACAAAAATGTGGTTTGAAATTATCAAATGTGGGAAAAATAATAGCTCAATCATGCTAAACAAGATTGCTAGTTTAAATAACTACAGTACTTTCAAAGAACAAAGCAGTTCTTTTCATTTACTGTAAAATAACTTGGTAGAACAGTAGAAGTGAACTGCACATTCTAATTTGTATACTCTGGTGTATGTCTTTTTATTCATTATGATTTATATGATCTATAATCCTCAACTATTCTGTTCATCTTGTAGGCAAGGTAGTTCAAGCAGAATGGAAGAGGTAATTTGAGGAAGACTGGTTTTTTGAAGTTGACATGAAGAAGTTGAAACTTGACATGTTAATGTGTTATCATTGATGGAAATTGCTAAATTGACTGAACTTATAGGTGTGTGTCATCAGGTTTTTCTTCACTTGCTGCATTTTGGCATTTGAGAGTGATTTGTAAATCATAGGTTTTTAGTTTTTGCATGAAGCAACTATACCCAAATTTATGTCCTGTTTGTTTTAGAACATTATTTCTGGGCTGTTTATATTGTTTGTTTTCGCTCCCCTGAAGTGTGTGTATGGTCTAAACACGTACCATCCCAGGTGTTACAACGAACTCTGTGCTTGGAATATGGACCTAAAAATCTTATGGTAACATGAATTTGTCTTATATTTTTTTGGCATCTCGTTAAGCACAAGTACCTTTTAAAAATATTGTGCATGAGGTTAGAAAATGAACATACACGAGAGAAGTTGAAACTGTACTCTTGGCACTGTTTAGGGGTGACTATGTGAAGTATATATAGTAAGTTTTAACTCAATGAAGGTGACATTACTGTTTTTTTCCCGAGGTTGACGATGTTTTGAGTTGAAACAAGGTTTTAGTTTTTGTCCACAAATTTTAAAAATATTTCAAATGAATAGTCTTTGGTCAATTTTTTTAATGTATTTTATAACCTGAAGTGAGCAAAATTTTCTCCCTAAAACTAGAATTCAAGCCATGAGTTTGCACTAAATTAAGAGGTAGAATTCAAGTCATTAGGTTGCACGAAATATAGAGGTAGAGATAAATGCGCTTAAATTTGAAATATGGGTTATAAAAATGAGGTATTTAAACATTGCTTAAAAGTCATTGTAACTCTTATAAAAAAATAAAATAAAGGTCATTTGTAACGGATAATGGTCCCAAATAACTATCAAAATGTCACTGCAGACGTGCTTTTGCCACAAAAAACGTGTTACCAAACATATAAGTGGTGGAGAAGCACTCTAACAAAATTAAAAAATGTTTATGAGAATCCGAAATATATTTTCGGATGCATCCATTGCATATCAAATACACGTGTGAATGAATCACATTTTTTTTTGGAGATACACTTTGCCTTAGATTGATATGGAGATACACTAAACCTATGTGCACTCCATGGATTCTTAATTGTGACACATTCATTTTTGCCTTAATCCATAGTTGTATTTCCGTATCAAGTCATGAAGATGCACTGCCGTATTCTCCCCTGACATTAATATTTGACTTTTTATTTTTATTTTTATGAAATACACCATTGAAATAGACTATGTATTAAAACAATACTATCATGATAATTTTTTTATAAATTAAATCATATATTTAATGTGCAAGATGAAAATGTCATATATGAATAAATCAATCAATAATATAGACACAATAACAAAGAAACAATAATAACATCCATAATGTAAATGCCTAATATAAATATTACATAATACAAATACTACACTATTGAATATGTCTGATCCCTTGCTCCTTCGTTGTATTATGTACTTTAGTTTCGTCTACGCCTAAGTAAGAATGATATCTACAATATTCCTCTCCAGAGAGTCTTTTGAAAAGACTCATTTATCTATACCCGCTTGTGCAAGATCCAATGTACGTCAATATCTAGGCAACACATCAACATGATATGTCATAGTCTGCTCCTCCTATAGTATCTTCTGATGAGCTGATATGTGGATCTTTCGGAGCATCCAATGTCATATAAAAATGTGACACGTTGAAATATCACTGGATGTAGTTGTTTGCACATCTCCAATCGCTATGAGCCAAGGTACCTTGTGCGTCATCTGGTACTGGATGATTAAGGTAATCATCATACATGACATCTACATCACTTTAAACCATAGTAGGAGGAGCACAATCAAAGGGGTCTATGGGAACAAACTGCATATACCCAAATTGACACATGACGCGTTCAAGTAAATGTGGATACGCCATACGTGACCCACAAGCCAATCATTCAGAGTAGATGGCTATGTCGCCCAAGGGACGTGTTTGACGATGGTCTACGTATGCCTAAAAATGTATATCATCTTCCATCATGCACTTAATATACACTTTGAAGGACTGCGTCCCCCGATTCTTTCTGAGTGGACTGAATGCACAAGTATGTGACATATCCTAAATGTATATATCAAAATATGACAAGACAAATATGTGTGGAAAATCTTGGATGATCCATGCCTGAAAATGATACATATGAATTATTGGAAATGGTGTAGCATGAGTGTTATGAAAATGGTATAAAAACAATAAATGATATAAATATATTATTATCAACAAGGTACAGGTAGCTGTCATCTGTTTGATTTTTGACATACAACCTTTAGCTAATTTGGAGTACAGGTAGAACAAACAAACAACTCCTAGTTGTACTCATGAATCTGCTCCAAGTCAACACAAATATGAGGTAAACCATATCCACGTAACAATCACTATTATCCATAAAAATAGATGTGTCAACCAAGTATGACTTGTATGCTCTCAATGCAGATTCTCTATGTTGCATAACCTACTGATCATCACCAGCGTCTGCTCCGTCGATATTAGATATTGTGCATACAACCTCTCAAGGAATCAAAAATTAGCATGACACTCTTAGGTGTCTTCTACCTCATTCAGGGAAACCCCTAGGCCATCTCCCTAATATGCCACCATCATCTGTACTGCCTTATCTCTAATAATCTTGTCGTGGTCTAACAGTCTTCCCCTGATTGGAAGATGGAGCAGACATGAGACATCGTTCAGTGTGATGGACATCTCACTATGTGAAAGACAAAAAAATGATATCTCAGAGTGCCATCTCTCAATGAATGCAAACAACATACCGTGATTAATCGTAGAATACCCAGTCCTGCATAAGTCTCTCAGTCCAGAAAACTGCATCACATTATGAAACTTTGCTCTTGAGGCTAAGAAAGCTTCACAATCTTCCAGCCATGGTTGATGCATTTCAAAGCATCACGGTCCTGTAGAAAAATAATTCAACAAAAACTTTAAATATCATAACAAATGTATTTCAAAGAATGAATATAATTGAATTTTACCTCTCAGTTCCACATGTCTGAAAACATAGTTCGAGTATATAGGCAAGAGCAATAAGTCAGACGAGTCTTCTCCAAACTCATTAGGAATAGGGGTGGGAATAGGCTGGGTCAAGTTAGGCTTTTTCAAACCTGAGCATGGTCTACTAAAAAATTCAAAGCCTAAGTGTGGCATGTAGCCTATCATAGACTTATTTTAAGGCATGAGCTTGGCCTTTTCGAAGGCCTGATTGACCTACTAGCGTACTTAAAAGCCTATTTCATTTGTACATTTATAAATAAGAAATTCAACTAATGTTTAATAGACTAACAAATTAAAAGATCAACGAGATTAAGTATTTGTTTGCATTTACCTGTTCTAGTTTATGTAGTAGAGTAAGTTTATGATACTATTTGTTTGAGAGAGCTTATGAAAATAACTTATGACAATGTTCATACAGTTTTTTCAACTTATTTTCATAAGTTCTTCAAGATTACTATTTTTTTTTGTATTTTCATTCAAAGTAAAAATATTCATAATTATAATAATAGATTTATTCATATCTATTAAATAGGTCGACCTAATAGACTTGAAAGACTTTTTTTAGGGCCTGTAGCCTAGCCTTTTAACTAAATAGGCCTATAAAAAAGCCTACACCTTTTCTTTTTAAGAAAAACCTAGCATAACACGGGCCTTTGTAGGCTCATCCATAGGCTCTGGGGTGGAAAACGGGCATGCCCGCCCCATTTAAGCCCGTTCAGTTTAGGCCTTCCCCCGCAAAGCCCGCAAGAAAATGGGGCGGAGCAGACATGCTTAAGGATGCAGATCTAAAACCTTGTCCCACCAAAAATGAAGGCAAGGCGGGGCGGGCCTGTAGACAATGCTCCTTTTCGTCCTAAAAATACAAAAATTCATGTAAATGTATGTGCCCGTAAGACTAAAAAAAATATGGCGGGGCGAACACATTAGAGGGTGCGGGCCTAAAACTTTGGCCCTCCCTGTAATAAAGTGCGGGAAAAACAGGAATGTCCAACGGGATGGGCCTGTTTTGCTATCCCTAGGCCCCTATTAGTTGGCCTGACTTATTCTTACCCCTACTCAAGAACAACTTCAACACGAGGTGCCTCAACCTGGACTGGTGGGGCTTTTGGGGTCTTAGGTGGTGACACCTGCCTCATATGAGAAGTCGAAGTCATAGACAAATGAACTCCAGAAGTTGATGCCTCCACATCAAACAAATTAGAACTGACCGATCGTTGCAAAAGTTGGGCTCTTTTAGTATGAACCAATTCATTTTACTACACTCTGCCAAGCCTCAATCTTTCTTGATTATCAACCATAATCCCTATAGTTAAATCACACAGTCATTATATTGTAGAAAAAAATAAATTCTAGATGAAACACAAAGAAAATTAAGGCAAACATTGTAGATAGATCTAATATGGAAATGCATTTCCAGATTTCTAGAAAATCAAATTTTGGACGAATACAGAAATGCATTTTCATATTAACCTACAACTTAGTAAACACGAAAAATGGTAGAAATGTATGGAAATCAAACTTTCACAAAACGTGTTGCATATCTAAACTACCTATCAAATACATTGCTATGTTAAAGACCTATCTAAACTACATATTACACAACCTATTAAACACATTGCTAATTTTTTACAAATGTATAGAGAAATAAAAAAATGTATAGAGAGATAAAAAAACTTACCAAATGTGAGTTTGATTGTGATATCTTTGATCGATTTGATGTTGATGGTAGAAGCTTAGACATGATTTGAGAGAGTTTGAGAGACTTGGAGAGGTTTTGAGAATTTGATAGAGTAAAAGAGAAATAAGGAAAGAGAAGGGTCTGGCGTATTTTTAATTAAATACGCGTCCGTAAGTGCGTCTCTCTAAGGTATATGGAGATGCATTTACATATTAGTTTTTGACATAAAATTAGGGCTTGA